TTCAGGACTCAGCTGCAATAAGCTGCTCTACCTTATCAGAGTTGTATCCCCTGTGTTCTTTGAAGAGGTGAGAAAGCATCCTATGTATCAACGATTCAAAGAGATCAACAATGCTGATTGGTACGCTCCTCTGCAGCAATGAATCGTTCAGAGCTTTTCATTGCTGCAGATTTATGTTCGGTCACGATGTGCCTTTGCAGTGGGTTTGGCAGAGCGTCTCAGTAGGTTTTCACGTACATCGATCTCATTCAGCAGGATTACAAGAAGTTTCTCGTGTACCTGGAGGAGCTTCAGATGGAGCGCGAAGCTGCACTGAATGCTGCACGCAAGACGCAAGCCCACGCCCTCTTCCCATCCTTTTGCGAGCAGATCGGCGTGCAGCCGGAGCAGTTTGCTCAGGATGAAAATGAGGCGGAAACTGAGGTTCAGCTGTTCGAGGAATGGCTTGCCGAAGAGGAGGCTCAGCGTGCTGCTTTGGAAATCAGGGCATGCAGCTGATCCGGCCAACGCCGAAACCCAAGTTGTGTCTCGTTTGCAGGTGGGTTGAGTCGCGTGTTGTTTGCTTAATGTTCACGACTGTGTGCTTGCTTTACGTTTTGCTGGTCTTCTGCTGCTGAGGATTTGCCCCCTGAGATGGATGATGGTGGCTCCAACAGCCCCCCTATTCCAACCCCACGCAGGGATCTTGCGCCGGCCCTGAATGGTGCTGCTGGGTCCACCGGCCCGACCTATGCCACCAAGTGGGGCGAGGCAGTTGAGCATCAGACGCGAGCCTTGGTGAAATATATTCAAGTCCTCTCACGTACTTTTGGATGAGCATGCAATACTGACGCCAACTTAGGACGGAATGCTGAGAGGGCCTCTCAGGTGGCTTTGTCAACTCAAGTGATGGAATTTCGGATGAGCTGCGAGGCAATGTTTTTTTTTCATCTGACGCATGTCAGGCATGTGTGGTTTGAAATAACCCATTGCCCTGATTCAGGACTCCCAGGTCTCATCTGAAGCACTGGATGAGGCCTTATTTTGCACTTGCATGCATTATAACTATAGCCTCAAGGTTTCATGGCATCTAGCCTCATCCAACGCAGGGTTCCGGAAATGGTGAAAAGCACGCTGCCGAGGCAAGGCTGCTGGATAGCGTACGTGTCTTATAGGCTTCTTGCTTCATCATGTTTTCGTTCAGCCATGCTACCCCATGAACCCAGCAGGCTTCCAAGCAAGCTGGCTGCGTGGAGGAAGCCTTGTCTGCAATGTTTCGGGAACCTGCCCTCCACCATCATATACCCAACCTTAACATGCGCAAACCTGACTATCTAACTTATTCGGGCTCTTTATTCTATTCCACGGTGAAAAGTGAAAACATTCCTACACGTTCCCCGTACAAGCTGATGAAACTTCCCGTTTGCCTCATTTACAGCCTTTTCTCAGGCAAAGCCCGAAGATTCAAGTCAGCGTGATGCCGAGCCAGATGCCCAGGACACCCGAAGCCATCAAGCCTGCAGGCATGTTCTTTCATGTGAGCTGGTAGTTGCATGGTAGGAGGAAAAGCCTCCGTACAAGTACCCAATGCTGAAGCTTTCGACAGACATGATGGCTGAAGTGGATTCCATTAACGCTGCAGTTCCCCCTCCACACTACAATGACCGGCAGTGCTTACCAAGGGGGAGAAAGAAGAACACAGAAGGTGAGGCCGAGAAGCCAGCAACGGCAGATGAGGTAATGATGCAAATGGAGGCTCATTGCCTACGGGAGGCCGTAGCGGAAGCCGAAAGAAAGAAAAAAAAAAGCTGATGAGGACGATGTGGGCGAGAACGAGTCCAGCAACGTGAAAACAAAGGCCAAAGCAAAGCGCCGGCGCGAGCCTGAGGAAGCAACTGAAGATGATGAAGATGACGAATCGTGCGACGAGGAAGATGACAAGGTGATGGAGAAAAGCAATTCCAGGAAAGGAGCTTGTCAAGGAGCGGCCCGAAGAGCAAGAATCAGGGTGAGGCAAGGAAGGACAAGAAAAGGAGGTTCCCGAAGAAGAGGAGCAGGAGGATTTGCAAGAGAAGCCAGCAAAGGGCAACAAGAAGCGAGCGCAGGAGGACCAGGAAGAGGAGCAGGAGGGTTTCCAGGAGAAGCCAGCAAAGGGCAAAAAGAAGTGAGCGCAGGAGGCCACCGAAGAAGAGGAGCAGGAGGATTTGCAAGAGAAGCCAGCAAAGGGCAAAAAGAAGTGAGTGCAGGAGGTCCCCGAAAAGAAGCGCAAGGATTTGGAGGAGAAGCCAGCAAAGGGCAAAAAGAAGACCCCAGTGCCTTAGCTCAATGAACCCAAATTTGTGCAAGAAGGCATCCCTGCAATCCAAGGTTGTAATGAGGGGCAATTTACAAGCCAACGTATGCTCATTCTCAAATAATTTCCAATGCTTCATCCCTCTAATTTGAAAAATGCACCCCAAACCACTTGATCTCAAATTTCCTGATCCAAGGACGCCCACCATGATTCGGTATCCCGACTGGACAAAGGCCATGGACGAATTGAGTTTCGTTGTACGATTTGAACGTATTCATGAAAACATTCCTACACTAATGGTGCCCTTAATTGCGGATGTACGGTCCTTGTGGTACCGGGTATAGGTAGATATAATATGGATTCATAATCGGGCTGTGCAAGGATTTATAGGAGGGTTTAGGGAGACTATGGGTAAGGATGCAAGTGTCCCGAAAGGCACGAAGACGAAGCCAGGAGCAGCGGCCTCCAGGAAGCCAAGCAAGAACGCGCAGCGCAAAGGCCCGGGACGCAGCACCTTTGCAGTTTTCTACTTTTCATTACACCCTGAAAGGCGAAGATGCTGATGAGTCCGGTTCTGCGAATGATGGGGAGGCCTACCTGCAATGATCATACTGCATGCTGATTTTTTTGCAAGCATTTATAAGAACGAAGGTGAGAAAATTATTCCACCAGAGCATGTGACGGGCAACCACATCTACAGCAACGCCTACAGGGTCAGCCTGGCGCTGGGCTTCCCGTTAGAGGATGCTCGTCAGAGGGCCCGCGCAGCAAGTGCGGAGTTCAAGTCAACAGGTCTGGTGAGCCAGCAGTACTAAGGGAAAAGCAAAAAGCAAACCTGTGATTGCCGGAAAGGCAAGCAGAACCTGAGCGGGCACCAGCCCCGAAATCTGATCAATGATTTTGAATGTGTAGGCCTGGTGCTTCCGAACCTCTACACATCACCCTCATATCATAGAAAGCATTATAGATGGGGTCCTATAGAAGCATCTCACTCGAAGAGCCTACACGTGTGTTCGTGCTCACATTTTTGAATATTGCGAGTCAATTCTTTTGAGGGGTTGCGTGTCATGTGTCTGAAGAGTAGACTTGTATCATACTTCTTTGTGTTGCGGTACAGGAAAGTTACGAATATGTGTCGCCAACATGTGACACGCAAGGGTTTCTACACGTTTGCACAGAGAGCTGTGCAACGCCGAGAGCAATCTGAGCATGGTCTAGCATGCGCCCAAAAGTCTATATAGTCTCCAATCCTGCGTGGGTGTGAATCTGCCCGTGACAACATGTTCGCAAGCACTGTGCCCTGCCTTGACCAACAGCGTGGACTTCCGCAGTTCTGGGCGCAGGGATCGCCGTGTACAGTTTCCTTCCTTGGTCGTGTTCCATGCTGCTCCGCAGAGCACAGACACTCGACAATATTATTCTTTTGTTATTGTATTTCCGTTGCTGGGCATGCGTTCCACATGTGTGCAGGGAATCGCTTTCTAAGGCGATTTCATGAATCGGCTTTGAAAGAGGCGGCATCCGACGATGCTGCTGAGAATACTCCGAGATATCCCCGGCCCCTGGAGGGCCCAGGATATCTTCCTATCCGCATGAAGCTGATCATGCAAAAGATTGAAGCGGTTGCAGCTTGAAGCAGCTGGTGTGTTATTTCATGTTCCCTCCACTTGTTTCCATGCAGACTTCTGCAATATCCAAGGCTGGATGCGTGCCGCGAAAGTATGCAAATGTGGACTTGTTTGCAGGAGAGCGTGCAATTAGTCGCGCCTTCAAAAGGGGGGCAACCCGCTCTGGCACTTGATATTTGCATCGACCCTCGGGATGTGGCCTGCATGAATCAAGATTGCTCTGTTCTGCTTGCCTGACCGAAACTACAACCTGCAAGTACCCTGGAAACAACTTAGGATATTTGCACGGCCCTGGGTTTCCTTCGCTCCCTTTGGAGCATCATGCATCTGAAGAGGGGCGGATTAGCCTCCATGGGCATAGTCTGCAGCTCGTGGTCGCGCACGAATGGAGCCTTGGATGATCCGAAAGGGTAGCCTTCTACAGGGTTCTGTACAGGGTTTCTTTCGGGGGAGGAGACGTAGGATCTTTTGGTGATTTTGCTTATAGGGTTATAAGGTTATAGGGTTTATGGGTATAAGGCCCGAAAACTACCAAATCGTACCTTCCTGTATGTAGTGCCACAAGGGTCCAACACGTGATCCATAAAAGAATACTTTCCATCCATGAGCGCACGGAATCAGCAGATTCCTAGTATAAGAGTTTGCGCAGAAGGCCCCCAGGAACCCAAGCGAAATCCCATAATCCGACACATATGCGTCACTAAGTTGGATCTTCCGGACGTTCCCCCAGCTTGCCGCTGGGCAACACGCTCCCTGGCATAGAAAAAGTTTAGTCACCTCTGTTTTGCGAAGGTGCTGCAACATGTGAGGAAGCAAGGAACCGGCTCTACGTGCGCACTGCCAATCTAATGGTGACTCGAGCTTCTTTCTTGCAACAAGTTGTCATGACATTCCTCTGTGAATTTTGAGCTGGGAGTGCTTGATTTTGGGATATTGTTTATTGCAGCAGCTTAGTGTGTGCTCCTGTGCATGGCCGCTCTCCATTCACAAGCGCATTGGATGATTGAAAATCCACTGCAAAGCTTGGCGCTGATCTTACGTTGGCATGTCTGAAGCATGTTTCACGCAGCGGCGTAAGTTGCAGCTGAGCTCCCGGATTCATGGTGGCAAAAACTCAGATCGACTGCCACCCGCGTCTTGAAAGCTTCCTGCGGCACCGTGGGCACTATCGTAGCTTTACGTGGCTGGCCATGTATGGCGCAGAGACCGCGAAGCCGGTCAAATTGTTGTCGAATGATCATTTCGTGACGTGGTTGTATCGGAAGCTGAACCGAAAGAAGGTGGGTCTGGGCAAGTCGAAGGCCTGCAAGCGCTATGTGGACCGGCATGGTGTCTTGCGATATGTGGGCACCAAGAAGCTCAAGAGTACGCAGACGTATCCTCCACGATTTGGTGAACAGGCAAGAGTATCTTCCAAAACATGCAAAGGGGTGTGAAGCTCTGCTCTGGTCCGGGCTTGAAGGAATTGGATCCATGGGTGTAGTGTAGGGAGTTGATGAGGCCTTGCACCATAGGCTAATTCTATTTTCGAAAGAAAAGTATACCCCTATTGAACCCTTTGCGCATTCCCCTTCAGCAGGTCCTCGCTAATGTAACTTGAGTCCTCAACAACATTGGGCTATAGTGTTTGTAATAGAATTAAAAAATTATATAGATCCTGAAACGCTGCTGCTTCTTCCGACTGATTGTTGCACGTGCACACGCACGCTGACTACAGATTCGCTCCATGGCCTCGTGGACCCACGCCGCGAGTGCTTGCTGGACTTCAGCATGGATCCTTGGGAGGACGCACAGAAACTTGGTGTAATGATTCTTGCTGCATATTGGGATTGCAAGCACGCGCTTCCAATCAAGTGTCTTCGTTTCTGCTTGCCGCCCTTGAGGCTAGATTCCGTTGAAGAGTTGCTGGAGACTATGGTCCAGGATCGCGAGCGGTACAGGCAGATCAACTGCGGCTAGCCGTTTTCCACAGGTGGTAAGAAGTTCGATATTGGTTTCCCCCGGATCCCCAAAGATCTAATCATTACCCGGTAATATATGGCACCACGTTTTGAGGGTCAGGGGTATGTACCATGCAGTATGATAGCCCCAAATGGTTCTGCCTTTATCCTGAGGTTCCAGGAGCCTATTATAAGATCCAACTTTATAGCCTTTAAATCTTGAACCCCGAACAAAACGCAAACGATAGTCCATGGAGCTTCAAGGTCTCGATCTATAGCATACCCATAATGAAATTCAGTCTATAGATCTTAGTGCTGGCAAAGCCTCGACCGAGATCCGTAACCCATTGGCTCAAGCTGCTCTGGCTCGAGATGGTGTAATAGCACACCAGAAGGGGAGCGGGAGTAGTTAAAAAGTAGGGGTGGGAGGAGTAGCTTGAAGAGCTCCACTAAGCTTGCCCAATAGAGGTGAGCCAAGTGGGAGCAGACTCGCACTTAGCCCCTTTGGTTTTTTTATAGGGTATTGTAACAATTTGCGCTACTAAGTGGTGCTTTTGAACCGTCACTGCTGCCACTTAAGCCTTTTCTAGGCTGTTTTGTTACCTACTTGACCAATCGCCTCTTGGGAAGCGGCAATTGTCTTTTGGGAACCACATAGCTTATACCAAACGACCTTGACCATTGCGAGCTCTTGTTTTGGCCCTCAACTGCGACCATTGGAACCTTCTCAAGGCCTTTGGTATATATATCGAGTGTCTATTGTCTCTTTGGGAAGCGACAATAGACTTCTAGTAACCCTTTAAGCAACTCTTCACAACTTTAGGCTCCCCTCAATTTGGGAAGTGAGCTTTTGCACCTTCAGTTGCCTCTACAGTTGCATCTATACTAAACACTGTGGCCATCTGTTTTGTCAAAACGCTCCGAGGTGCTTTCCTTTTGCATCTGGCTGCGAGCTGCTCTAAAGTAGGCCTATAGTCCTTAGTACTTACCACAAACAACTTAAGCCAGCATTAGGGGCGCGGGGTACAGTACACCGGTCCTGAAGCTGCGCACCTAGAATATACCCCAAAATAAGCAGCAGGAAGCATGGAAGTTGATAAAGAAGGCACCGGCACCAACAGCACTAAGCCAGTTTTGACTATGCCGGAAGAGGAGATGCAAGCCAAGGCCTACCTCTGCCATATTGCTGCTGCGGAAGTACTGAAGCCAATTGCCCACTTAGTGGATCTCATCTTTTCCATAGCTCCCAGTGCCCACTCAGCATACCCAGTTAGCCATCCTGTCAATACTAAACTTATCACCTATGATAGCAACGACATCAAGAAGGTCGCACATGCCTACCCGATGGCAGCACATGTTGCCCTATATGAGCCAAGCAAGCAGCAAGTTAAACAGATCTTTGCCCAGCTCCAGAATACTAGCTGCAGATGCTATGTTCTTTCACTTTTGGATGCTGACTACGGTAGTGACTCTGCCCCATTGTCGTTTGCCGAAAAGTATGGCAATCAAAATTCATACAAGCTCAGCCATATTACACTTGTAGGGCAACATAACATTGGCAATAAACAATGGGTTGTCTATTGCGCTCTTTATCAGCCCAACATGCCCAGACAGGCTCTGAAGATGAGCATCTCGTTATCCTCTACGCTTGAGATCCCAGAACGCAGCCTCCTTTTTTCCTTTGAGATTCTCGGCACAGTTGGGGTCTTACCTCAAGACGCTCTGAATATCTTCATGGCCATTGGGATGTCTATCCAGCCCCTCAAGGGCGAAGGACCAATCAAAGCGTTTTCAGATAAGACGGTTACGCTTCAGCGCTTCAGAGTTTCCTGGCACCCTAAGTCCCCACTATCAGTAACAACCGCAACTCAGGTTATCACGTACATCAAGCTTCTCTATCAGAAGGCTAACCTTACTGGAAATTATGGTGAATTGCAAGTCTTTATCAATTTCCCTGTTTTAGCCCATGAACAGCCATCAGATTACTATTTTATTGATGTCCCGTGGAGCCCCAACTTCTATCAGCCTAAGCAAACCGCGCGCTAGCGAGATTCCACATGCCTTCCGTAAATTTGGTCTGCGGATCTACACAAGCCCTGTTAATTTTCAGGTTGCCAACGCTGCCTTAGCCAATAAGGAACAAGGCCTGTACCTCAAAGATCAAACTATCCAGGATGCTTATCAAGTTAGGCTCTTCCGAACTGAAGGTACATCCTCATCCCCCGTTGAAGTAAGATTCCAATCTGCAGTCACGAACTGCTACACCGCCCTACAAATTGACCTTCATTCACATAGCCCAAATGAGGCCATCTACAGGTCAATATGTGCAGCCATCTCGCCCGGGTTTTTCTTCGGGGGTACGCAGCCAACTAAGAACAGCCAGGGCCAGATCCGACTTGTTGGGATCATTGATGTGCCACACGCAGTACCAGCTGATGAAGTGTGCAAGTATACTAGCGTCACAATACAAGAATCCCAATATCTCTTCACTATCTTGTATCTTGGTGAGCTCGCGAATGTATCATGGCGCAAAGAACCAGCCTCATCCCGCTTTGAAGATCAGATAATGCATTGGAGAAATGCGCAGGACCGCCGCCTTGTCCCTGAGGCGCGAATAGGAGCCCTTCTTCCTCTTCATGAGTCTGATGCCCTTGCCTTCAGGAGACTCGCTTCATCTTGCTTTGGCAAAGTTAGGGACATCAGTTTTTACCACTTACCGGCGTCTGCTGGATCCCTTCCAGTTTTAGCATATCATCCGCAGAGGACGGTAGGCCACGCGACTGAAGACTACGAGGAGATTATCTCAATTGCGTCAAGTCAGTGCGCTGCAGCTGCTTCTTTTTTCTCCCCAATTCTCTCAGAAGGGCTTCTGCAGAAATCTTGCGAGTTGAGGAACGCCCCTGGCAATACAGGTATAGCAATCCTCTACTATTCCAATAGAACACTCGTTGACATCCCCATTTCGTAGGTGAACAAGGCAAAGTAACGATTGCGAAAGTCGGTGCACTCAGATTCCAAGTCTATAAGCAGGCCGTTGTCATCCTGCCACTCCCCAACGATTCCGATCTTTTTGCATCGTTATCGGCTTTGCCCGACCGAGCAGTGTGCATCACGTGCCCTACTACTGCTGATAATACTACTGTTCCCCACACTGGCGAAAACTGTGCGCCAAAACTCGTCGCAGGCACTGCTGGAAAGGCCCGACTTGAAGTATCACATGTTCCCGCCCTCGGAGCAAGCCTGTTGCCTGACCAACCGCCTTGGAACGCTGCCAGCAGCAAAGCTAATGATCAGCTAAACGCTATGCACCAGCTCATAACTGAAACTGAGCCCCTTGAAGCAAGACATATTGAAGCAGGCCTAGTTCCCACTAAAGCCGGCAGTGCCAAAGCCTTGCGTGAACGATGCAATCAAGCAGATGTACCTGACATTCCCCCTGGGAAAGCTCATCCGCCCCCTGAAAAGACATATCATGCCCAAGGTGACTTACCTAATGCAGCAAAGGCTTATGCTGTCACACCCCATGGGGATCGTGATCGACCCCTTAGTGAATGTAATGTTGTAAAGAAGCCAACTTGCCTTCCTGAGAACCCAAAGGAAACCTGTAAGCATGAAACTGTTGCTGCAAACCCCTTTGCTGAGTCGAACTATCGATCCCATAACCAGGACTGTCCCCCTCCCCTATCAGTTGAAGAGCCCGCTCTTGCATTACCCCCCATCACACAAATAACTAAGCCTAAACTGCCGAAACAGCAAGCCTCGCAGCATAAGCCGCCAGGGACATCCCAATCCTTCTGTCATTCCTGTCAGGGCAGAATGCAACTGCCTGTGCCGGCAAATCACAACGTCAGGCCAAAAACTGGTCCTTTGCCATATCCTGCGCCACATCCTGCGCAACACAACAAGCAAGTGCCTGTGCCGGCCAAGTCGACCTCTTCGCCCTCAACCGCGTTCAAACCCCCCATCCCAGCAAAATAAAAAATCTTCTCCTGGGCTTATGTCCTAAGGAGTCCCTCACAAGCCCTGGAAGCGTTGCACCTGCTACACCTGCACAAAAGCCCGGAACACACGGCATGCAAGCCAATGCTTCCGCTAAGGCCAGCGACTGTCCAGAGCATAAGACGCTAACAAGTGGATGAAGTATAGCACCGTATACCAAACCACCACAGGCAAAGCCCTCGGCCACCAAAAGCTGACGTTACCGGAACCCTACCTGGAAAGCCTAGTCACCCATAATAATGGGCTACTTTAACCCAAAGTAATAGGAAATTAGGGGAAAGT